GAATGTTAAGGCCATGGTCTTTCTGATGCATCCATTTCATGTTGCTTGTGGCATGAGTCTTGATGTGCAGACATTCCCTTTTATTTTCAATTTGTACTATAGAGGGAAATTCTCAATTTATTTTATCCTTTGCAATTTAGCAGAATATTGGCGTTACTGACAGGTGTTGCGCTTGTTTGTGTGGGTGTTTTTGTATTTTTCCTGAAGAGTAGCATGATGGACCAAAGCATCTTCCATGTTCTGCCAGCCAGTTTTTGATTATCTTATAGAGGTGTGTCTTTACTGTGCAGCGATTCAGTGTGGGGTTTTTTTTGTATTTTTTCAACAGCTTTTATTTTAGTGGGCTGAAGGTGGAAAAATTGTTTTACTGCCTATGTGTATATTATTGCCTTTTGTTTACAAGAAGCAACACACGATCTTGAAAAGAAAATATTACAAATTAGAGAAGATGTAGGGCTTTTTGACCTAAAGTATGTATCAAATTATTATTTCTGTTATCAGAGAACAGAACCAAACAAAAGTCTTAAAGTAGCAACAGAACTCCTTTCTATTGCGTTAGTTATACTTCCTTGTTTTTTCCCAGTATGAATGTAATGTTGAGAGACGGAGTGGGCGAGGGCTACTGTATATAATTTGTTTTGTACAAGTAATTGAAAATCAACAATTTCTGTGGCAAACATGTATATTTTGATAAGGTAATAGCAGACATTCAGCTCATTGCTGAGCCTTCCTTTTTTTATTACACAATATTAAAAGAGATTCCAATGCATTGTGTCTGAACATGTAATTGCTCTCTTGAAAGCTTAACCTTCTTTTGATATAGATGCTCATACTTTTTCTGTCTTCAATAAATCTTTGTTTCTTGCTTTTACCCTTTGTCTCTTTAATATCTGACGTTTTTAAACATCTTGACCTTTTCACATTCTGCATCTGTATGCTCTGTCATGTGGTTAGCAGTCTCTCTTATCAACCTTCCTACATTTTTGGGAGAGACCTCTAATGACTCATTGGTTTCACTAACTTGTTTCTCACCATCTGTTTGCTGTTAGGATATAGGATGATAAATCAGTTTATGAATTTACTTTTGAAGTTTTTTTTTTTTTTTTTTTTTTATATAATTGAGCAGCCGCACATTGCTCAAAATAATTATTAGGATTGTGATATTCAAAAGGAGGTTGTGTATAGAGTATATGAAGATACAGTCTGCAGTCTAGGCTGAAATATTACTGAAATGCATTTCTTTATTTCTTTTTTACATACTGCATTGCTAATTTAAACTCTTATGTCATTGTGTGTTTCTATACCTTATTACCATTATGACTTCATATTTGGATGCATCAAGCAGGAGCCATATGCATATGCACTTTCAAAGTGAAAGGTAGAGAGATCAAAAACTAGGTCTACTTTTTATTTTGCATAATATGAATGAAGATCTCGCTTAAATTAATGTTATGGTGTTCCTTGAACAGCAGGTGGCGCACTAGCTTAAGGTTAAAAACTGGGTCATTCCTACATCTCGGTGCCTTATGGGTTTTAGTACTTATGAACAATTAGCGTTTCTAAGTGTCTTTTTTTTTTTCATTTAAAGAGGAGCTTGTAAGACATTTTATAAGTCTTAAGACGAGCGCTATGGTAAATGTCACCTGGTTAAGTAATAGTTACATTTACATTTCACAACACAAAATATACCCAGCTCAAAGCCTATATACTTTTTGTCAGGACTATATCACCGTGTGCAATGTGTTTGTGGATTTAAGGTTGAATTGCCAACAACAGAATGAATGTTCATCAATCAATAAGAGCCATTGTAAATATGAAGTAACAATATACCTAGTTCAGGTGGAAAGGGTAAAATTATGGATGGAGTTGAGATTTGTATTTGGTGAAGGAAAGGGGAGATTATAGGTTAGGGCTTGGGATATGTTGTTAAATTTAGCCAATGTGCGATGCCTAAATCTACACCAAATCTATGTTTCAATAAAACCTAGCCTAAATCTAGTCACCTTTAGGGTCACTGGACTAGACTTGCTTGGGTTGTGTACTAATAAAATAGTTTGGCTTTGGCTTTACTGTTTTCTTTCAGCATTCTTATTTCTTTCATAAATCACTTTTTCTTGCCTATGTTACCCCATTCCCCCCATCACTTTCTCATTTTCTGAAAGTATTGCCTGCTTTTCTCAGGGTCAGAATCCTTAGTATGCCTCTGGTGCACATCTCTGCAATCAAAAAGATATACATGAAACATGCAAATGTATTTCATATCCAAATAAATAAATGCAGATCCAAAATTCAGACGTCCACCTGATTAGGATTATTGAGGCATCAGGACGGTAACAGACCATCTGATTGATTGATTGGGTCAAGTGTGTGTGTGTATAAAAATGACTTTGTTAAAATTGTGGTGACCTATACTGGGGACCTACATGTCACAGACTCAGGAATGGCCCCAGTAGTTTTGGTGCGTTCATAGAATTGAGAGGCATTGGGCCAACCGTTTTTCACGGTTCAGAGAATTTCTTTATTGGATCAGTTAAAGCAGCTTATTTAAAGAGGTGCCAATCCATATTATTGAGAAAGTTATCTTCTAGTGCTATACCAAACTCGGTTTTTCAGATACTTAAATAGTTTGCCTCCCATGCTATTTTCTGCTTGATATTTCAGTACATTTGTAAGATAATTAATCAAGGGGAAATGTAGTTCATTTATTCTTTCAAGGCATTTAATTATGAATAGAGCAGTAGTTTTCCCAGCAAACTTTGGAGGGGACTGATAGAAGAAATTATTTATCTTAAAGGAATAGTTCACCCAAAAATGAAGATTGTCATTATTTACTCACCCTCATTTGGTTCCAAACTAGTTTCTTTCTCATGTTAAACATACAGGTGCATCTCAATAAATTAGAATGTTGTGGAAAAGTTCATTAAGATATTTTGAAGAATGCTGGTAATCAGTTGATGGTCCCTAATGACTTCCATAGTATTTCTTTCCCTACTATGGAAGTCAATGGGGACCAATAACTGTTTAGTTCTTCAGAATTCTTCAAAATATCTTCTTTTGTGTTCAACATGAGAAAGAAACTTATACAGGTTTGGAATGACATGAGCGGGCGTAAATGATGACAACATTTTCATTGTTGGGTGAACTATTCCTTTAAAGGACTGGTTCACCCAAAAATGAAAACTTGTTGAAAATGTACTCACTCTCAGGCCATCCAAGATAAGTTTGTTTCTTTGGATTGGATTACTTACCCACCAACGGATCCTCTGCAGTGAATGGGTGCCGTCAAAATGAGAGTTTAAGCAGCTGATAAAAATCTCACAATAATCCACATGACTCCAGCTGATCAGTTAAATTCTTGAAGCAAAAAGCTGTATGTTTATAATAAACAAACATTAAGATGTTTTTAACTTCAAACTGCTGCTGGCTAAAATATGAGTTCTCTGTCCATATTATTTTTTCTCCAGTTAAAAATCTGTCTTTTTTTAATCAGGAAAGAAATATGCACAGCTCAAGCTACATTTACTAGTAAAAACGGTCCAAACCAGTTCTAAACAAATATGTTGGTGGATTTTGATGTGAAAGGACAACGGGATGGATTCACTGGAAGTCTTATTATAGATTATAGACTCCCATTTTGGCCAGAACCAATGGTTTAAAGTTAAAATACCTTTATGGATTTAATTGTTACAAACAGTTTTTCACATTATAATATGTTAATTGATGGAGTGGATTTGTGTGGACTGCTTGTGGATTATTGTGATGCATTTATCAGCTGTTTGCACTCTGATTCTGACGGCACCCATTCACTGCAGAGGATCCATTGGTGAGCTAGTGAAGCAATGCTAAATTTAAAGTAAATTTTCAGCAATTTTTCATTTTTGGTTGAACTATTACTTTATAATGAGAGAGAAGAGAATGAAAATGTACAAGATATAAATTGACATTCTTATGTTGTGTTTATTGCAGAGCCTATAGTTCACAGAAATGTGGTTTATTATGTTGTCTATTGATGCTTCTAGTTTTTGTTAATAAAAAAGCAAGCAGCTTCAAAGCTGAAGTACCAGAATAGCCTGCAAAAATGAGGGCTTTTGAATGTTATTTTGGACAACAGTTGATAACAACTGCTGTAAAAGGAAGTTGCTGAAATTCTCAAGAAAGCAATTTAAAGACTCATATGAATAGTCTTGAGATGAAGTAAATTGCAGAGGTGAGTTTGAAGAGCGCTCGTTCAGGCCCCGCCCCCTCCTGAAGGTACACCGCTGATGAGAACTGTCGCACACGAATCAGA